GGTGCGAAACGTGGGGTGGGAGCTCCTCAGTCTCGTGCGCCGGCACCTCCTCCGCCGGCACCGGCACCAGTGCAATATCAGCAGCGGGCACCGTCGCCGGCACCGTCGCCGCCTCAGCACCAGCAGCACCAGCAACCGCAGCAGCGAAAGGTGGTAAAGACGCAGGAATCGTACACATGGCGGCAGAATCGAGCTCCTCCTCCGCCGGTACCTGTCCAACAACCGATGTCGCAGTCCTATAACGCGAGCTCGTCGCTCCCCAGTGGGCACAATAGTAATAATCTTAGTAGGAGTGTCAATTCCATGGGTAGCGATCGTGGTCTGGGCGCGGGGGTGACTCCGGGCAACGAGAACAAGTTCAGCAGCATCCAGGCGCCCTTCCTCGTGCAGAACAAGCTCTCGACCGGCCGCCGGCAAAAGATGCTTAAGGGCCTCAAGAAGTAGAGGGATGCCGGCACTTTCAGGCTCTTTTGAAGGACCGTGCAAGTTGTTGACAACGGTGTGAAGAGGGTGAAAGACCAGACGGAGAGGAAGGAGAAGAAGGATCTTACAGGGAAGACTGAAGACATCAGCATGATACAGAGATAAACAAATGGAGATGGCGAGCAAGAATCACAGCGCAGCATTTTTTAAAGCATTCATCGTCTGGTAGAGGCCAGCTTTTGGTGGTATCTTGCCACCGGGTTTTCTGAAGGATAAGGATATGGGTGGAAAGTGAGTTAACATTGCATTGTGCCTTTGCATGCGCGGGTCTTTGAGTGAATGAATGTCTCTTAGAATGGCCGGCTCAATCGCGGTAAGTAGTGCTGCCATTTCATGTCCAGAACTGACGGCACAACACTGCAAGTGCATGACAGTCAGCTATAGTAGTTATCGTAAACTTTAAGAACTTACCCGTAGCGACGGCGTAGTTCTGTCTGTAGATCCGCAGCAAACTGTGAGGTCAAGAGCGATAAGTGTAGCCTTGAGGTGCGGAGTTTTGATGAATAAGCGCACCCTTTGAGTTGCTGCTGTATGCCGTGCAAATTCTTGTTCAAGTTGCTGCTTCACCTGTTGCCAAGTTCTCACGATCAAAACTAATGCTACGTAGTATAAAGTAGTAGTGGAGGCACTTACGTGTTCGAGTGCTGTCTGACGTTCATGAACCTGTGTGAGATGTTCTTGCAAATGTGCAACCTGACCGCGTGCGAGCTCAAGCTGAGCTTGGAGTGCCTGATTGTCAGCTTCGTGTTGTTGGTTCTTCGCCTCCAATTGTGCGTTCTTGACTGCGCTTTCTCGTGCTGCATCCGAGTAGATTGCTTGCGAGAGTGCAGCCTCCGAGCCAACCAGTTGTCTCTCGTACCGTGCACAAATAGCTTCAAGTTGCTGCACTCTTTGACGACCTACCGTGGCCAGAGCTTGTGTCTCCAGCGTGGAACTTGAGGATGGAGAGGTCGACTCTGGGGCTGGTGATGAAGCACACTGCAAGTCCAGTAATGTCTGGTCTTCTGCGCTGACAGCATCACGATGCTTAAGGTCATCAGATGTCTCGGTGGTGACTCCGTGCAGCTCTTCCTCTCGCATACACAGTGCTGTAAGAGCTTCGATTAGTCCTAAGAATTGGTTCTGCACGTCGACCACCTGACGACGATATCTCTCGAGTTCCGAGAACACTCGACCCTGTACACATTGAGCTCTTGCTTGTTCACTTTGAAGACGCCGCACTTGTTGCTCACTCTGGCCAACATGAGAGCTCAACTGCACCAAGTGTTCGACGACTTGTGACTTTTTGAGAAGCTTAAAGTAAGTGTCCGAATTCATCGGCGATACGTGCGGGCTTGATGAGAGTGATGCTGGCCGTATAGTACTTGACTCTGTTGCCTTCAGAGATGTATCGGATCCCATTGAGGAAATACAATCAGGGTCGGAGCAATATTTGTACGCACGGGATCGAGATGCCGCATTTGATGTGGAACTCGGAGTAAACGTCCTCTGTTTAGTGGCGTTTTGCGGTACCGGGGGAGGTGTGCTCGAAGCTGATGTATGTGCACGGGGTTTCAAGAGGTTCTTATCGACAGGATGGACAGCAATATTTATCTGCTTGGTCTTAACCTGCTGCTGCGAAAGGTTTGTAACAATCGAAAGAGGTGGACGACTTGCTCGTGCTTGCATCTCCATTGCCGCTGCCAACTTTGCAACTACAGTTCGTAAAAATAACTTTGCAATGGATATTCTTAAGCTTTTTGAGTTCTCAACCCTACCAATCTTCACTTGTGTTGCAGCTTCTTCTTCTTCGCAGCGGTTCCAGCGGCTCCAGTCTCCGCTGGCCTCTTACTCTTAACTCTCTTACGGTAAGGACTCGTATGTTCTTCGTCCTCTAGGACATCAGCCTCTTCGTCTCCCGAACCTTTCTTGGCCTTGGCTGCTAGTCGTCCCACCTTGAGCACATACGCGTCCATGCGGAACTTGCGCTTGAGGCCGGCTTCATTCATATAACGCACTTTGCCGAAGATAGGGCGTTCCTTCCAGCCTTGGTCGTGCTTTCCGAACGTCCAGGCCACACCAGCGTACGAGTTTGCGTCAGGTGCATCCAAGGCGTACTTGTTGTTGAGCACCAACGCCGCATTGAAACCATCTTCAGGGGTACGTGTCCACTCCAGCGA